CCTCCTCCGGAGCCCTGCCTATCCCCACCGACTCATCTCACACCGGAGGCCGTTCCCTCCTCTTCTTACAATGGAACATCCAGGGACTTAGACCTCGCTGGACAGACCTCGCCCAGCTTGTGCTCTCCCATCAAGTAGATGTCGCTCTACTTCAGGAAACCATCACAGACGATGTTACTCCACTCCGCCTCTCTGGCTATGCTGTTTGCACCCTGCCTCGGTTCCGTGGGCAGGCTCGTGGCCTCCTCACCCTTGTGCGTAACACCATTCCATCTGTTCGTCTCCCTTCACCTGACTCACGTGGACCCCCGTCTGAATTACTTTCTGTCTACCTTACTCCTGGTGACCGAACCCTTCGTGTAGTCAATGTTCATTTCAAGAGTGATTCTCTGAACCCCCAGGTTCTTCACGAATTCCATGATGGGGTTCCCACTATTGTTCTTGGCTACTTTAATGCCCGCCATCCCACTCTTACTCCGGATCATCCCACGCCATGTACTCTTAACAGATCACATCTCTCACAGTTTCTAAATGGGGATGATGGTATTCGCTTTCTTTGTCCTGACGATCCTACTCGCCTCCCCCATAGTTTCCTTAATGTTGGCTTACTATTGGACGGTCATACCTCTTTTCATCCTACCGTTTGCACTCCTTCCCTGCCCCTACATCAGCTCCTTATCGATCCCCTCGCCTTCATCTCACACAAGATGCTGTTCCTTCCTTTATCCAATACCCTTCTACCTGAACGGATTCCTATGTTGTCCCTCAGTCCCTTGACTCTCACAGCGCTGATTTTGTTGATGCCGTGTGTGACTCTGTCAATCGCGCTGCCCCTCCACGCCCTCCCCGCACCCCAGAAATGCCACCAACTACTGGTATCGTATCCCTGCCATGAGACATCTCCGGCGGGTAACCCGTGATCTCCACTCTGCCATACGGAGATTTCGCTCTCCAGAGGACTGGGAAGACTTCAAAAACTGGTGCTCCTTTGCAACTCAGGAGCGTCGTCGGGTTCGTGAAGCGGACTGGCTATCCTTCACGGGGTCTCTATTGTTTCAGTCGTCACCCTCTTATGTATGGAATCGGAGTAATGCTATACGGGGTACTCGACGGAAGCCTCCTCCCCACCCTAACCCCGCCTCCTTTTCCTGCTCTTTAATGGAGGACTGGGCACGAGCTCCCTCCCCTGAGGCACTTCCAGATCCGATGCAGGAGGCAGTGCAGGCTCGCATTGATGCGTCTGAGCCTGTTGTTCGTGCTGCTCTTACATCCCCTGCCCCCACTGATCATCCCATCACAAAGTTTGAACTTGACAGTGCTTGTCGCTCAAGAAAAGACACCTCTCCTGGGGATGATCAGATAACGTACTCCGTCCTCAACGCCTGTGCTAATATTCCTAATGGCCCCTTGCTCGCTCTCTACAATATGTCTTATGAACATGGGGTTCTTCTGTCTAACTGGAAAAATGCCACTATTATTCTCATCCCTAAGCCGGGAAATCCTGGGAAATATCGACCAATTAGTCTTACCTCCTGTGTTTGTAAGATGATGGAAAGGATACTCCAGCGTCGCCTTCTTCACATCATAGGCGGCTTCCACAACTCCCTCAATGGTTTCATACATCATCGTAGCACAGCACACTCCATTGCTTCTTTTTATTGCAATCAGACTGCCCGCGTCTCCGTCTTCCTTGATATCAAGAAGCCTTTGATACGGCTCAGCCTGTCCTCATTTTAGCTGAACTTGCTCGGTTAGGGGTTAAAGGGAGACTTCTTCGATGGATCGCCTTTTACCTCACTGGACGTCAGGCCCGGGTTCGCGTTGAAGGCTCTATGTCTCCTGTTCAAGAAATGAACCTCGGCACCCCTCAAGGTGGAGTCCTGAGTCCCACCTTGTTTAACACTCTCATGCACTCCATTGCATTTCTCCCGTGGCCGACAGAAGTTGTCCACTTAGGATATGCCGACGATGTCTTCCTCCAAGCCCCTGACTACCTCAGCATGCTGGAAACCCTTTATCTGGTCTCCAGAGAGTGTGATTCACTTGGTTTCCTTCTTTCAACTGCGAAAACAAAAGCCATGTGGCACGGTCGTGTTGTACCTCCCCCTCTTTTCTTATCAGGAACGCCCTTGGACTGGGTTAATGAGACAAAATACCTGGGTGTGTATGTAATTCGCACACGCTGTCAGATCCCTGAAGTCCGCTATCTTCGAGATATCTGCTTTCGGCGTCTCGCTCCCCTCTCTACCATGTGCAGGGGTTCCCTTGGTGCCACCATCCCTGTACTTATCAACATGTACAAGTCCTTTGCCCGTTCCTGTGTCGACTACGCCGCCCCTGCCCTCGTCAATATTAGTCGGATTGCTGTCAACCGTCTCGAAGTTATCTAGAGGAAAGCTGCTCGTATCATCATTGGGGCTCATCAGTGGACACGCTCTACTTCTCTATATACCGAACTTGGTCTTCCCCCCTTACAGGATCGTGTCCAGGAGTTTTACCTAAAAATTACCGTTTCCATTCTACGGGATCCTCGGGGCAACTATGTCCAAGCCAACTTGACTCCTGCTGTCTGAGGCCAACCTCCATCTAGAAGACAGTGATGAGGGTCACTCATCCGAGCCCTTCGGGAATACGACCTCCTGCCTGATATTGTTGTGACCCCTGCTATAGGTTCGTCTCCTTCTCCCTGGCTGGATTTTCAACCTGAAGTGATTGCCCTCGGTGGACCGCTCCCGAAATCCCACGTGTACCCTGTTATTCTCTGCAAATACCGCCTCTCCAGGATCGCCCACTGGTCCCCAGGTAGGGTCGTCCTCTACACTGATGGCTCTGTTGACCCCGCTACAGGTAGGGCCGGGGCTGGTGTCTACATCTCAAGTCCTAATGCCCCTGAGTCTATCAAACTTTCTCTTAGAGTTTCTGACGGGGCATCTTCCATTCAGGCTGAACTGATAGCCCTCCTTGCTGCCCTTCTCGTTGAGGAAGAAGCCGGTGGTTTCTGCCCCTTGCTTGTCTGCTGCGATTCCATGCTTGCTCTCGACGGGATCGCATTTGGGCAACGGGAAAATAAGGACCTCATCCTCCGAATAATAGGGTTAACATCCACACTTCAGGATGCAGGCTGTCCTTTGACATTTCTATGGATACCCAGTCATGTCGATATCTTGGGGAATGAGGCAGCAGATGGTCTTGCCAAGACTGGCTGTAACAAGGCCACACCTGACTATGTTGTTCCTCGAACACTTTTACAGCTTAGGACCTAAATTCGCCGCAAACAGAGAGAAGCTCGGGAAGCAGCCATCCCCCTGGACTCCCCGCCCACCTGGTACGATGTCCTCTGTAAGCTTCCTGACCTCTCTTATGTCTATGGGAAAGGGTCGCGGAAAAGGGACGTGATTGCTGCCCGTATCATCATTGGGTATGACTTTGCTTGGGAGATTGGTATTCCCACATCCCCTGAGCAACGCTCTTGTGCATTATGCAGAAGACCCGACATCCGCACCCTTGTCCACTACCTCCTAAGATGTCCCCACACACAACGCTTCCGTGACGCCTGTTGGACCACCACTCCACGACCCCCTGACGGAGACACGATGATCCTCCCCATACTGGCCAGATATTATGTAAATAATATTGATAATGTGTTAAATGAATATCCTTTCTTCCTTCGGCTTTAGTAAGTACCTTTATAATATTTATATATACTTGTGACACTTGCCAGTTACTTCTGGTGTTACTGTACAGGGGTACTGTACCTAGTGACAGCACTAGGATTCTGCTTCCTCTATCAAGGAATACATATTGAAATCGAAAAATAAATGATACAGGTATTTGTGATAACTCGGCGAGTCCTTGTTGAAACAGCGTCGTCACCATCACATCATCATAATCACTACTGCTTGCACAACACCAACACGTCAAAGTAAAGGCTCCACTGCAGCCAACACCAAGGTCAGGCTCAACACGCAGTGAGTCAAAAAAAGACTTGGCAATACAAAAGGAAAACGCTGATGTACAGTCGGCCACAAGCATAAGTATACACCTACGGTTCGTGTTTGAGACAAAATATCTGGTAACACTGTCCTGAACAGAGCCGACAAAATTACAAAATGACCTGTAATTGATGTTTTATTCCTACATATATGTTATAAATACATTTGTTGTGAATGTTTCACTAGTGTCTTGTGTTTATATTACAAGTAACATATTGTATCCAATGGTAGTAAACTTGTTGCCGAATGGGATTGCAGTTATCGTACAGCTCCATCCTCCTCCCTCATTTTTCCTCTTACCCTACTTTTTTTTTTACTTATGTTTGGATTAGTAAAGGAAGGAAGAGGAGTGAATAGAAGAATAAAGAAGGGGAAACAGAAAATAGTTTGAGATAACAGGTGGGGGGAGCTGAGTTTCATCATGCGTCTGGATGCGCAGTTTCAACGTTACCAGTCCATTTTCGGACTTTACGGCTACAGTGTGCATACTTATTCCTGTGGCCGACTGTACACGAGGTATTGAGTACAGCCCTACTCCCCGTGCGAGTAGTCTGACAACACCATAGAACAGGGGTCACCAAACTACGGCCCGCGGGCCGGATCCGGCCTGCGACGTCAGTTCATCAGGCCCGCCGTGGTAGCTCCGCCTACGCTCTGACGTTACCATGGTTTCCATGGCTTTCGTTCTGGCTTGCAAGTATTGAACAGAATGATTAGGCGGCCCGCGCTTGTCATTCTTTCAGTTATCCGGCCCACTGTGAAAAAAGTTTGGTGACCCCTGCCATAGAAGATTTAATATTGAATATCCTATATGTGATCGTACATGTAAGTGATGTGTAGAAGGTCTGCTACTTTATCGATAACTTGATAATGTCACTTTTAAATTAAGTAAATTTAACCTTACCCTCATGTAGTAAGATATTTCTAGCTCTTCAATGAAACTTTCTAAACAAGATAACTCAATATTAAAAACGAGAGAGAGAGAGGCTGATCAGTGTGGGTCTACAGGGCGGCATGAAGGCGGTGGTGTGGACGGATGTACTCCAGCTCTTCATCCTCATGACGGGACTCATCTCCGTCATCATCAAGGGCCTCCTCGACCTGGGCAGCTTTCAGAAGGTGTGGGATGTGGGGGTGAAGAATGACCGAGCAGGACCTCAGATATTTACGTGAGTTGTATCTCTGTGGTATCCTCTTGTTGTGCTGAAAGAACTTGTTCATGTGTGTAAATAAAAGTATAACAATACTGTACATTATAATTTTAAATGAATGCAAATGTAAGTTAATCACATACACATAAGTACGCTACCAAGCACACAATCCAAACTGACGTAATGCAATCATACATAAACCAACACTCTTTTCCCCCCTCCCTCCTCCAGGTATGGTTACATCCCCCTACAGCGCCACACCGTCCCCAACATCATAATCAGCGCCTTTGTCAGTAAGCTGGCCCAGTACTCGTGCACCCAAACCACCGTCCAACGGTACACCAGCATGAAGAGCATCACTCATGCCTACATGTGAGTACCGTGAGTGCATGTGTGTGTGTGTGTGTGTGAGAGAGAGAGAGAGAGTAACTATCCAGGTATTAGGCGGGGAGTTAAAACCTAAATGCGACAAAGGAAGAACTCAGATCACGACTAACTTAATTGTCTACTACACAAATAGTAGAGGTATGAGAAACAAAATGGATGAGATCAGGGCGTTGGCATGTACCGAAAAAATCGATATAATAGCATTCACCAAAAGATGGATAAACTTAGACTCATGTGAGTTACCTGTCGAATACCAAATTGCAGGTTACAAATTCCATAACGATAGGCAGATTAGGAAAGGAGGTGGGTAGCAATCTATGTCAGGGATAATCTGAAGTGTGAAATAAAAAAGGAAATAAAAACAACGGAATACAGAAACAATTTCGATAGAATTAACCGATGGTAGGGAAAAAATAATCATAGGAGTAATATATAGACCTCCTAATCTTGATAGAATTGACGGGCGACTTAGTTTGGATGAAATACACAGGGCATCTAGACACAGCAAAATTTGTGTAGTAAGCAACTTTAACTTTAGTCAGAGAGATTGGATCGACCTTACGGGTAACTCAGAGGATTTTCTAGAAACATTTCAGGACTGTTTCCTAAGTCAACATATAACCGAACCCATTTAGTTCTGTCATACAGAGAAAATATCATTAGTAATGTTGAGGTAGGGAACGAGCTAGCTAACAGCGATCACAAAGAAGAAAGATTTAAATTAGAATTTAATGTCAGTCGCAAGGATAATTTCATTAAAGTCTCAGAATTCAGAAGGGCAAACTATGATACTTTGAAAAGGCAGCTGAGAGAAAGGAGTTTCACGTCTGGGGGTGAATTACATGACCTCACATGAGGTGACCTCACACAATTTACCCACTGAAGGGAACCTCACTTTACCTGGAGACCTCACAACGATAACCTCACAAAATATGATGGTTGAGGATGACTTGATCACGAGATCTGAGGTTGACGAGTTCCACAACAATTTAAACAATGAGTTACTTAATGCAAAAAAGGCAGAACATACCATACAGAAAGCTCAGATCAAACAACAATGCCCCCAAATGGATAAATAATTATCTAAAGAATATTATTGGACAAAGGAAGGCTATAGGTAGGAGAATAAATAGTGGTGATAAAGTATTGGCCAGTAAGGTTAACACCGAGATAAGGAAAGCAAAGAGGAATAATTAATTGGAGGTAGCAAGGGAAACGAAATCAAACCCCAAGGGATTCTTTAAAATGTATCAAACTAAAACACGAGAAAAGATTGAACCAATACAATCGCATACCCGCGAGCTAACTGATAACGACGGAGAAATATTCTGAATAGATATTTTTCAACAGTTTCACAACCGAAAATTTAAACATGATACCCGAGGCACCAACTATATACAGAGATAGTGAACACAAGAAGATAAGAAAATAAGGAGTCTGCAATAGGCCGGTTGGCCTGTGCATGGCAGCTCTTGTCGAGAGTTACTACCACTCTCTATCATCCATGAATCTATCTAGCCTCCCTTTAAAAGTTTCTAGGGTTCCAGCACTTACTACAAAGTTGCTAAGCTTGTTCCACTCGTCTACCACCCTATTTGTGAACCAGTTCCTTCTTATCTCCCTCCTAAACCTAAACTTATCCAACTTAAATCCGTTGCTACGAGTCCTATCCTGCTCGGATATTATAAGAACTTTATCTATATCTCCTTTATTGATTAATTTCACCCACTTAAATACTTCTATCATATCTCCCCGCACTCTTCGTCTTTCTAGGAAATGCAAGGTCAGCTTCTTTAATCTATCTTGACATGGAAGGTTCCTAAGTCCCGGAATCATTTTTGCCATTCTTCCCTGCACCGACTCCAATGACTTGATATCCATTCTATAGTAAGGGCACCAAAACTGAACAGCATAATCGAGGTGCGGCCTGACTAGCGCAAGATATTGTTGCAAAATGAGCTCCGCACTCTTAAAAATACACTTCTAGATATAAAACCTAATACTTTGTTTGCCTTATTTCGAACATTAACGAACTGTTTTCTAGGCTGTAGGTCCGGGCTTACAAGTACACCTAAGTATCTTTCGCAAGTCGACTTCTCTAGGTTAATGTTGTTAAGGCTGTATACATTGACAGTATTTGTTCTTCCAATATTAAGTACGCTGCACTCTCAGGTGTTGAATTTCATTTGCCATTTTCTGACCACTCCTGCAGTTTATTTTAATCCTCCTGTAGTGCATTTGCATCCTGCCCTGAATGAATCTGCCACCCTATTTTGGTGTCATCCGCAAACTTGCTTATGTCACTGCTGATCCCAGTATCTAGATCGTTTATGTAGATTTTGAACAAGAGTGGGCCCAATACTGACCCCTGGGGAACCCAATGGTTACACAGCCCCACTCAGATTTAACACCATCTACGCTGACCCTCTGTGTTTTATCGGTGAGCCATGATTTTATCCAATTTAAGACTTTCCCCTCGATACCATTAGCCCTAACTTTTCTCAGAAGCCTCTAATGCGGTACTCTGTCAAACGCTTTGCTAAAGTTTAAGTAAATAACATCGTAATTTTCGTCATTATCTACTCGAAGACTTTCCTAAGAAACGTCAGCAAATTTGTTAGACAAGATTTTCCCTTTGTAAACCCATGTTGAGAGTCGTGGATTAATTTGTTTTATCTAAATGCGATCAGATGCTATTTGCTATAATTGATTCAAGAAATTTCCCCACTACTGACGTCAAACTTATCGGCCTGTAATTAGACGCTGATGCTCTGTCTCCCATTTTTAATATGGGTACTACATTTGCCTGTTCTACAAGTCTAGCACAACTCCCGTGTCGAATGATTTTGTAAATAAATTTACAAGGTGTCCGCTAATCTGTTCCTTACACTCTATCAAAACTCGATGGAAAATTTCATCCAGCCGTGGGGATTTTGTCTTCTTTAATTTATTTATCTTCTTAAGAACATCCTCTTTTCTGATAGTGATATTCTTTAATTTCTCTTCTTCATTTCCCCTAAATATTAGTTCCACTTCTGGCATTTCCTCTTGAATGTCTTCTGTGAAAACTGATAAGAAATAGCTGTTTAATGCTTTGCTTATTTTCTCGCTATCATCGATCACTTCCCCTCTCTCTGACTTTAAAAGCCCCACTTTGTCCTTGACCTTTGTCCTATATACCTGTAAAAATCCCTTGGGATTCGCCTTGGATTCTCTTGGTATCCTAGTTTCGTAGTCCCTCTTTGCCTTCCTTACATTATCTTAATATTCCTAGATAGTTCATTATACCTATCTCTGAGATGCTCCCCCCCTCCCTTTAATTTCTAATAAATTCCTTTCTTTATTCCTATGTCATGTTTAAGTTTTTTCGTCATCCACCTTGGCTCATTCTTATTTGACGTAATTTTTATGTATGGTACATTTTGTTCCTGTGCTTACGTGAACACTAGTGAATTTATTATATTCATGATCAATTGATGTGTCGCCGGTAACCTCACCCATTCCTACCGGAGAAGGCCTGACCTTCTTAGCCCCTCATAATCCGCCGATCGAAAGTCTGGGACTCTGACCATATTGTCATTATTTTTTATTTCCCAATTTAGGGTGAACCTGATTTTTCTGTGATCACTGTTCCCTAGTTCTTCCCCTATTGTGATATATCTGATAATATTTTCTTTATTTGCTAATATTAGGTCTAATATATTGTCACCTCTAGTAAGTTCTGTAATTAGTTGTTTTGAAAAATTGTCCTGTACTGTGTCTAGGAAGTCTTCAGATTCATAGTCACCTACAATAATGTCCCAGTCAATATTTCTGAAGTTGAAATCCCGCATAATGTACAGGTTGTTGTATTTTGCTGCCCTACTCATTTCCTGCCATATGGGCTGAGCTGCTTCTTTCCCAAGACTTGGGAGCGTGTAAATCACCCCCATAATTAGTTTTTTCTCTTCCTTCCGCAATTTCTACCCAAATAGACTCGGTTCCTATTTCACCCTTTATTGAATTATTAATACAACATTTCAATGTATCCCTGACGAAGAGTGCGACCCCCACCCCCCTTCCTACCTTCCCTGTCCTTGTGATATTGGTTGTACCCTTCTATGTGGTACTCTGATAAAAAGTCCTTGCTCGCCAGACTCATCCAGGTGTCGGTGATTGTTATGACGTCTACATTCTCGGTACATACAACCGTTCCCAGCAAGTCTATTTTATTTCTAACGCTCCTCCTGTTTGTATAGTATACATTTAAACATACCCTTCCCTGGTCCTGTTTTACCCCTTGTTCTGAGTAACCAATTTTACTCCCCAGGATCTGCCTGTTTGTTGACTCCCACTTACTCTGACCTCTCTCTACTGGCGAACACCCCCTTTGGAGTGACAATTTCACACTCCAGGGATGCAGACAACGTCTTTACCCCCGCGCGAGACAGGTGTACTCCGTCACGACTGTACAGGTAGTCGTTGCCATAGAATGGTTGCCAGTTATCAATGAACGCCCAACCATTGCTTGCACAATGTTTTTCCAGTCCGCAATTTATAGCAATTGCCCTGGACAGCCATTCACCGCCAACTCCTCTTCTAGGCAAGACACACATAATATAGGGATCCTTCCCCTATCTCTAACCTTCCCTAGCGCCTCCCTATACCTCTTGAAAAGTTCGTCACTCCTAACCTTTCCTGTGTCGTTACCTCCTACACTAAGACACACTACTGGCTTGGAACCCTCCCCTGACAAAACCTTATCTATCCTCTCAGCTACATGCCCTATCCCAGCCCCAGGAAAACACACCCTAGTCATACGTTTCCTATCTCTTGCACAAAAAGTTCTATCTAAGAACCACACCTGGCTGTCTCCAACTACCACGACCTTACCATTGGGCAGGGTTTGACCAACTGTCCTTTTCTCTCCTGGCACCACACCGTCCTGCCTCTTCTCTTCCTCGCCAGCTTCCTCCAACAATTGGTAAGGGTTACTGCACTCCACACCCTTTTCAGCTTTCCTGAGACTGACCCTAGTCGTCTTGGAGACAACCATTCTCCACTACTGCTCCTCCTGACCCTCTTTCGCAGGTATCCTGCTAGGCAGGACACCTACCTGAAGGATTTCAGTCCTGAGGGCTTCGTTCTCCCCCTTTAAAACGTCAATCTCTCTCCTCAACTGCTCCAGCTGATTTAACAGAGTGGCCAGGGGGGTCGCCTTTCCTCACAAACCGTCCCTCTTCCCCCACAACACAACGATCAACGGTGGCCATTTCCTATGGTTACTAACACGAGCACTTAGTGGCACGTCCTTCTGCAAGCTAGGTCAGGTCGGTAGGTTAAGCGAGATAGTAGTGACAAGTAACGATGTTAGTAAGCAAATAGACAAGCTAAAGCCAAATAAGTCACCAGGTCCCGATGAAATATTTGCCAGAGTATTAAAGGAATGTAAGGAAGACCTTAGCAAATTTGTTTAACATGCCATTAAAAACGGGTGTAGTACCAGAATCCTGGAGGATAGCGAATGTAATGCTGATTTTCAAGAAGGCAGATAGATCACTATCCTTTTACTACCGTCCAATCAGTTTAACATAAATTAATTATAGGCAAATTGCTGGAAGCAATAATTTCAAACTCTATTCGAAATCACCTGGAGAAGTACAAGTTGATTAATTATTATCAACATGGCTTCACAAGCGGGCGTTAATGTCTGACTAATCTATTAACATTCCTTTCGGTTGTTTTCGAATCAGTGGACGATGGGCACGTTTATGATGTGGTTTATCTCGACTTTAGCAAAGCCTTCGACAGATTCCCTCACGTAAGACTAATACGAAAAGTGGAGTCTCATGGCATTGGAGGAGATATTGTAAAATGGGTTAGGGCGTGGTTACAGGGCAGGAAACAGCGAGTAAGCATAAACGGCACTAAATCCGATTGGAGTAACGTCACTAGTGGAGTATCCCAAGGCTCCGTACTTGGACCATTATTATTTATTATATACATAAACGACATAGATATAGGCGTAGACAACAACATAAGTAAATTTGGTGATGGCAGTAAATTAGGGAGCGTAATTAAATCTGACGTGGCCTCCGCAAAACTGCAGGAAGATCTAAAAAAAACTTCGAATGGTGTGAAGAATGGCAGACGAAATTTATAGTGGACAAATGTAAAGTACTTAGTCTAGGAGAAGTAAACAGAAAAACTAGATACCAGATGAACAACGATGTTATAGAGAAATCCGACTGTGAGAGAGATTTAGGAGTTATGAAAAGTAGGGATCTTAAACCTAGTAAACAATGTGTATTTGCTCGAAACAAGGCTAACAAAGTGCTTCTGTTCATACAAAGGAGTGTTAGTTACAAGACTAGCGAAGTCATTCTAAAACTATATCTTGCGCTTGTGAGACCTCACTTGGATTACGCAGTTCAGTTCTGGTCACCGTACTACAGAATGGATATAGAATCCCTAGAAAGAATTCAGAGGAAAATGACATGACTAATCCCGGGCATTAGGAACCTTGAGTACAGAGACAAGTTAAAGCAGGGTGGGTAATTATTTTGATTGACGGGCCGCAGACTTAATATAGATGCAAATGCATGATGTTTGCACAAAGTAAAACCTTGTATTTGTATATATAGGATGTAAGGAAAATATTACGTAACATTCATAGATATTTTGGGTAAATAGATACATCACTTTTTAGCTTGTCTCTTTTATTATTAATAATAATGCTAATACAAATACTAATATTAATACTACTAGTAATAATATAGAGTTAATGTGCAGTATAATTAGTACTTTATTTACATCAACATAATAGAACAGGATCGATCTTGCTGGCTGAAATTCTTCTTCTCATGAGACATTGTCTTTATTCTTCCCGGGGGAGGTGGTGGTTGGGTAGAGTCGTCTAGGTCTGATTGTAGCTGTCCCTGATCCACGTTGTCACTGCTGCACTATACTTGATAAATAAAATTAATAAATTTAATATTTATTGGTTCTTCTTGAAAAAATAAACAATAATAAAATTAAGTTTTAATGGTTAAAAATAAATAAATAAAAGCAAGTCAAAAGACCAATATGTAATTATGTATTATTTTAAGTTGTTCATATGTTGATAAGAATATTTAACTTACTCAGTGGGATGAATGACAGCGCTGATGTTGCCTCCGTTGTTGTAATGAAAAGTACTTTTTCAAGGTGATCATCAGTCATTGCAGATCTAAGTTTTGATTTATTCTGCTACATTACTGAAAATGTCTGCTCACATATGTATGCAGAACCAAACAGCACAAGCATTCTTTGGGCATGAGCCTTTAGTTTTGGAAATGCAGAGTCATCATGAGAGGCGTAGAATTTGGGAAGAGGCACTGATTTCATCTGCTCAGAAAGCAGAGGGTCACAGTGCAGGTCAATAAGCTCTAGTTGTAGGTCAAATGGGGAGAAGACACCAAAGACAGGTCATTTTCAATTTGAAATCCTGGAATAAGCGTGAAAATTCGGCATGTAAGTCAAATAGCTACAATGAGTACTTCTGTACATTTTGATCACAAACTGCAATCTGCTGTAAGGTTGCAAAGCGAGCAAACTGTTTTTTTTATCTGACGAGACAAAAGAAGTAATTTCTTCATAAAAGCCTTGACACTGTTGTATAAATCATGTGTAAAAGCCCCCTTCCCTTGTAGCTTTGAATTCAGACCATTCATAAGACCCATGGTGTCAGCAGCAAATGCAAAATCGGAGAGCCATTTCTCATCATTCAACCGAGGGAAATTTATAGCTTTCTGTTTCATGTCTAAAAATAAGCCAATCTCTTCTTTCAGTTCCCAAACTCTTTTCAGGATTTTTCCCAAACTAAGCCACCTCACATTTGTGTGATACAGAACATCCGTATGATCAGATTCCAAGTCTTTAAGGAAGGTTATAAAACTGTCTGTGATTTAATCCACTTGCTCGAATGTAATTAACCACTTTTATAACTGTGTCCACGACATGGCTTAAATTTAAAACTCTCTTACAAAGGAATTCTTGATGAATAATGTAGTGTAGAAAGACAATATTTTGTTCTGCATTTGTTTCTCTGATTTGATATTGAATTTTTTTCAGCAATCCAACATTTTTACCTGTCAGATTTGGCCCTCCATCGGTGGTCACATTTACCATTTTTTTCCACTCTTCTTAATTTCAAAATACAGTTATTAACTGCCTCCAATAAGTCTTCTCCAGTTATTGTTCCTTTCAGTAGCTTCATTGATGCCAATTCTTCTGTGAACTCAAAATTTTTGGTGATGCCATGAATAAAAATTAACAACTGCGCTGTGTCTCTGACATCACAACTTTCATCAAGTGCCAGTGAATAGTATTCAAAAGTCCTTACTTTCTCTTTAAACTGCAGATACATGTTCTCGACGATGTCCTCTACACGTCTTACAATTGTTCACCTTGTCAAACTTACTTTCTCAAACTGGTTTTTCTTGTCTGGACATAAAATAGAGGCAGAATCAACCATACATTCCTTTTTAAATTCTCCTTCAGAGAATGGCTTGCTGTTTTTGGCAATTTTGTGAGCAGTCACATAACTCACTCTTGTAATAATTATTATCCTGGGATGCAAATTGTTTTTTGAAAATACTTTTCTGTTGTTGTAATTGAGCAACCATTTCGTTAGCTTTCTTCCTCTTTTATTCATCAGAATTTTTTTTTTATTATTTACCGGAGTGATTGGTATCGAAATGGCGATTTAAGTTGTAATTCTTTAGCACTGCCACACTTTCTTTGTAAATTAAACACACTGCTTTTTCATCCACGTTGGTAAAAAATTATTTAGAAGTTCATTCCTTGTTGAATGTTCGACACTCCGCTTCAGCTTTCCTCTTCTTAGATTCACCCATTTTCAGTTAAAAATTAATTATGGGTTGGGGGGCAACAACACATAAGTACAAATTCTGCAAAACCACAGTAACGTCCTCTTAAGCGAGAAGCAGAGAGAAGACTGATCAGAGAGGTAGAACAAAGGGGAGTGCTCAGAGTGTTGGTGAATAGTGAAAGTCGTCAGAGTTAACCACAAACACAGTGCCCTCTGATGTATTTCTTATTTTCCAGGTCTATCTTTCTTGTGATACCCTTCTTCATCCTCCTCATCTCCCTCACCATGGTGGCAGGTAAGTACATGGCGGTGATGTGGTGGTAGTGAGCGCTTGTGGGCAGGGGTGGGGCGGGGCGGGGCATGAGAGGGGTGGGGCGGGGGTGAGAGTTTCACGAGTAGGGAGGTTACTTCTACAAATGGAAGTACGGCAGGAAGAGAATGTAGTAGTAGTAGTATTATGGCAGTATGGTAAGAAGACCTTAATATTATGGTAGTTTGATAGACAAATAGTGATGATATGGTAATATGATATAGGCAATTAGCAATAACAATAAAGCAGGTGAACGTCAACATTCACTATACTACAACGTCACCGACTATCAATTAATCCTCAGAGTATCAAAATGTAAATACTGTGTCGGGGAGATGTGGTCAGTATTCTGGTGCTTGGGGTGACGTGGAGATACTCGACTCAATTGTATACAGTATTATGGTGAGGTTAAGTCAAGGTCAGTATTGGTAGTCTTGACCAGACGTTTCCTCGAACCTCTCCACAATGCTTCTGTTTACTGTTGGTGGTTTCTGAAGTCTCCGTTGTGTCGTTGTCACTTGTTCTTTCTCATGTTATTGTTAATGGCATTTTTATCAGTGGCTGTGTTTAGGTTCTTATCATCGGAAAAAATAACATCGAAACTTCTTAAATGATTAAAAAGAACACCGTGCGTGCAAGAAGTTTCAATGCATTTATATTTCTTTATATTAAAACTTCACTGACTGTCCTCCCCTCCTGGAACCCTGAGGTCAGCTGAATGTCGTGGGCGTCTGTTACCTCCCAAGGTGCATCAGTCATGTTCCTGGAACATGGTGGCGCAGTGACACCATGAACACTACACACACACACACACACATGAGAAATAGTCATATCTAATGGTGAAAAGCTAACACTTTGTTGAAACTCTCATGAAATATACTCAAAGGTGTAAAGAAATCTCAGGGAAACGTGTTTAATTCAAATTAATAGAGGTAAAAGAATAAATACATGATTTATATATAAAATGTATTATTATATTGGGATCACCTGAAGATTATTCCTCAAGTTTATTTCACCTAAGATTAACTTCCCTAAAGATAACCTAACCTAACCTAGTCCCTCCCAGATAGTCTTTGGGTGTTTAATCATCAGTTAAAATAAACTGGGGGCTAATCTTCACTTATCTAAAATATGTTTAATGCCAGCTGAGGAAAAGGCGAGGATCAGTGACAGTAAAGATTCACAAATATTACAGCAGTTGTCTAAATGAAGAATACTAAACATGAAAACCAAAATAGGAAATATGGTCTGTCAGCAGCCACTATAGGCACGCCAGCACCACTACCATTGCACGAGTAATATCACCCTGAGGACGGTCTCACCTTCTTAATTCTGTATACTAAGATAACACCATTTTTTGTGACGTAATGGAATCAGCTTATAGAAGGAAAATAAACCAATACACTGACAACATACCACTGTAGAATATAACACCACTTTTCCTCTTTTTCCAATTTCATGGAAAGTAAGATGTCAGATATGAAAGTTTTATTTTTTACTTTAGTTTATTTTTCCTCACGAATTCAGTACAATTGTGGGTCTCTATTATGGTGTTGAGATAAGAGTAGACCCAGAGGTATTGGTCGGGTGATTTGGGGTGAGTTTTACTATGTTCTTTAGAGAGTTTCACTAATTTAACTTTGAAGAACTTTAGTATTCTCATACGAAAATATCTTTTGAGACACATATGAGCATATTTCTACATGGTATTGTCAGATGTAAATACTACTTCGCAAGGGATTTCAGGTTTAAAAATGCAATAATATATATATCTATGTAAAGACATGATATTTTCACCTTTAATGATATTTTTCCTTATTTAAAATGTTTATACTCGTGTTGTTGTTCTTGAATAAGTGTTTTGATTGTGAGTGTGGTTGTCTTAGGTCTGGTGATATTCGCGACGTACGAGGGTTGTGACCCCCTGGCTGCTGGCCTCATCACTCAGAAGGACCAGATCCTGCCCTTCTTCGTCATGGACCGCCTTAGTGTTGTTCCCGGCCTCACTGGACTCTTCGTCGCCTGCATCTTTTCCGGAGCGCTCAGGTGGGTGAAAATTATCTATAAATGTCTCTCTTGTTATCTCTATATTCTCCTTTGGGGCTGAGGGAGGGGATATTTATCCATAATTGTGTCACTTCTTCTCCAAGGTGAGATCTATGATTTTTTTGTGTATGTAATGAAAACAATGTATATTTATCTAGTTTGTGCCAGTTGTAGCTCTGATTTCTATCCCCAGCACCATTTCGTCTGGAGTCAACTCACAGGCAGCAGTGACCTGGGAAGACGTTTTTTCCACCATTCCCAGATGCGCCAAGCTCTCCAAGAACACTCAAGCCTGGATCACCAAGTTTCTCGGTGAGGCAACAATTTTTACTTTCGGGTTTACATTTCCTCTTTCCCTCTTTTGAGCGTTTTAATTGTCTTCACAATTTTACCATTAATAGTTTTACCCCTCATACTCTCGCAGCTTCTCCACTTGCTTACCGGTTATTTGGTCTATACATGATATTCATTCTCATTTCTTGTTGCTATTACGACAACTTAATCTAATACGTAGAGAATATTTTCACCCTATACCTCATGTTTATATGATATTAACAGTTTATACCCGGTGTTAATATAATGATTATACCACATATCTGTTAGCTAAATAAATGTGCACCATATGTGGTGCTTGTATAATATTTCCAATATAATTTTCCTTATGTAATATTTGCACTCTATTGCTTATATGATATATGAACGTTATAATTAGTACGTTTTGTGTGTGTGTGTGTGTAATAATAATAATAATAATAATAATAATAATAATAATAAACGGTTTATAAATAGAGTTGCAGTCGGTGGCTGAAAATATACAAACTTACATTTGAATTAGACATAATGATATGCGTTCAATACATTTACAGGGCTGTACAGTACATAAATCAGGAGTTGTTTATTATTTTAACAATAGATGGGATGGTGCTATTCTTATCTCTATCGGTGCTGGCTCTTATGGGCTGAATTTTGTTGTAGTGGTGGACTGCGCGAGGTGGGTGGGGGGCTGCAGGTGGCAGGAGGTGGCGATGATCAGGATGGTGCAGTAGTCCACTGCCAAACCTTGCTAGTGATTGGTGGTGGAGGTCACTGAGAGATGGCATTTCCAGGATGGAGAGAGCGTTGATGTAGCCGGAGTAGTCTGCGCCGAGCATAGTTCTGCTGTGAATAATAATAATAATAATTAACGGTTTATTGAAAAAGTTCTGCAGCCCGAAGGCTGAAAATATACAATGGACATAAATGACTTATTACATACATTGGTGGTTTAACAAAAGCCTTCATTAGAGAAAGGTAAAGGAACATACAGTGAACATACAGATTAATGTAGGTGTTGAACAGCAAACACGTAGTGTAGTAACTCTCTCCCAGATGGTGTTAGGAGGAACTCACGTGGTGTAGTAGTTCCCTCAGATGGTGCTATGAGGGACCTGGCGTGGTGTAGTAATTCCCTCGCAGATGGTGTTATGAGGGGCCTCACGTGGTGTAGTAATTCCCTCACAGATGGTGTTATGAGGGACCTCACGTGGTGTAGTAATTACCTCACAGATGGTGTTATGAGGGGCCTCACGTGGTGTAGTAACTCCCTCACAGATGGTGTTATGAGGGGCATCACGTGGTGTAGTAATTCCCTCACAGATGGTGTTATGAGGGGCCTGACGTGGTGTAGTAATTCCCTCACAGATGGTGTTATGAGGGACCTCGCGTGGTGTAGTAATTCCCTCACAGATGGTGTGATGAGGGACTTGACGTGGCGTAGTAATTCCCTCACATATGGTGTTATGAGGAACATGTGGTGTAGTAATTCCCTCACAGATGGTGTTATATGAGTGAGGTTTGGTCTTAGGCCTTCCTATCGTAAACGGATTAACACATCGCTGGTTGTTGTTGGGTCTCACGGGCCGTTATCCCTGGGTACCTGGGACCTCACTGTGTGAAGGTTAACTTGGGTACGACTGTTACTGTTGAGTTGTTCTCACTGACTTCAGCACTGTTCACCTCTGTTTAACACTGGTTCCGTTCCTTTCCTAAATGAAATTGTAACTTCTGGCGAGAACTTGTTGATATTCCGGTGGGGAGGAGGGTTCAGGGGAGGGGGTTGGTATGGGCCAACTTTACAGTTGACCTGGCTGCTCCGAGAGGAGCGCCAGGTACGTCTTGACCCTTCGGTGGTCAAGGATGTGTGTGTGTGTGTGTGTGTGTGTAATAATAAATAATAATAGCAACCTGTGACTTAACGGTCAGCATGCTCGCCTCGCAAGAGAGGACACCCGGGTTCAATCCCTGGGAGGGTGAAACTATGGGCAAGTTTCTTTGCGCCATTGGGAACCTGACTGTTAATTGATTTGCGGATCGTGTTCCGGGGTAATGATTAGCCATTGCAGCTGTCGAGTTGTCTGGTTTTCTCGGACTATTCCTTGACACTGGGTCATGCAACTCGTTTACTTAGGGTGTGATTGTTGTGTTGGCGACAGCTTTTACACCTTAAACAAATTCATGCCTAGGTGGCCCTTGGGCAGGCATCTTCGTTACACGAGGGGAAACCATTATTATAATAAATAATAATGAAACAAATAATTAACGGTTTATTGAAGGAGCATGGCATCCCGAAGGCTGAAAATATACAGTTACAGAATTGGGGACTGGGTCACTTGATTGACAAATAATATACAAGTAACATATGTGATACAAATATGATATGTAATGACAAGGTCGGGAGACGGTTATACTACAGGGCATTTCAATATAGTGACAGTGCAAAAAGGTAAGATTGACTGGGAGTGAATACACTGGTTGATTACGAGTTGTTGATAATTTTTACAATGGTTGGGACCGGGCTGTTCTTATAGCGATCAGTACATACACGTATGGGCTGGATGCGGGTTTGTGTCGAACAGCAATTCGCGGGCGAGGGATCTCCGGTCGAAGTAGGAGCCAGTGTCGAGGATGGTGCAGAAGTGAGGTCGTGGTAATGGTCAGAGAAAGCCGAGAGGGTCAGTGTGTTGAGCGCTTCTTGATATGTGTAGTACGAAGGGGAGAGAATAATCTTGCATGCCCTCTTTTGCACTTTTTATAGGTGTTTACGTTGTTGCATTTAGGAAGGAAGACCAGGCAGGGGAGGCATAGGTGACCTTGGAAAGCACGAATGTTGAGTAAACACTGAGGAGCTCGGGTGCAGGAACTCCGAGGGACTTGAGTCGGCAGAGGAGGTGGAGACGAAAACTGGAGGATTTGACAACTTTACTGAAGTGTGTTTTCAATTTAGCTTGTTTTCTATAGTGACGCCAAGGAGCTTAGTGGATTCCACAACCTGGAGTGTGTTGGGGCCTAAAGTAATGGAGGGAGGAAGGACGACGTCGGAGGAGAGGTTCATGTGCCTAACCATGGTCTTGGTATGGTTGATGGTGACGTGGTTGTTGGTGGCCCAATTTTGGAGACTGTTCAATTAATCCTGAAGGGCGGTATAGTCGGGAGCAGAATTGTTACTCACATTTACGTGAGAGGTATTCAAGTACATTGCGTATTTGGTTCTGTACATGAGAACTGATATAGTTACTAAGTGCAAAAAAGTGGATACAATCTTAATATGTCGGCTATCTTGCCATTAGAGATGAAATGTTGTGCCATTTCATACACAGTGTGCTTGGACCTGTCCCTAAAAGGTTCTATCTTCACACAGTTGAGGACGTAGTGTTCAAGTGTGTGGCCATATGTACAGCCACACACTTTACATTTAGTTTTGTTTACATCTGCTTGAGGAACATACTGCCAAAGGTACTTGTATCCTAACCTTAATCTAGCGGTTACAACATCTTGTAATCTAATGATCTTGTTACTTGCTCCATATACATGTTTCACTTGATACATCTCATCATGGTAACCTATGGATCGACTAGTGCCTATTTGCACTTGTCTACTTGCGTGAAACTCATCAATAAGTTCTTTCCTAATTACAGTTTTAAGGGTTCTTTTTGACAGACCCAAATTGTATTCAACGGTGTCTTCGTTAGACGCGAGTTTGGCGAGGGCATCAACTCTGTCATGTTTTATGAGGCCTATGTGAGAGGGGATCCACAACAGTTTGACCTTGACACCCCGGTCAACAAGGCACGCATATTTGTGTCTGGCTTCAGAGACAAGAGCGTGACAACCTGAGTCGAGGGTGCCAAGGGCAAGTAATGAGGATAGAGAGTCAGTGATGATGAACATAAGAACATAAGAAAGTGGGATACTGCAGGAGGCCGACTGGCCCATACAGGGCAGATCCCTTTCACACCCATCCCAGCACTTCCATGTGCCTATCCAACTTCGTCTTGAAGCTCCCTAGCGTCCCCGATCCTACTATAGCACTCGATAGCCTATTCCACATATCCACAACTCTATTACCAAACCAGTGCTTGCCTATATCCTTTCTGAATCGGAATTTATCTAATTTAATGCCATTTGTTCTAGTTATTTCGTTATTACTGAGCTTCAGAACATCTTCCATTTTACCCTTGTTAATCCCACTTACCCACTTGAACACCTCTATCATATCTCCCCTAACTCTACGCCTCTCTAATGAATGCAAGCCTAAGCTTTTCAGTCTTTCTTCATATGGAAGGTTTCTAATATTATGGATCATTTTTGTCATTCCTCTTTGTACTCTCTCCAAAGAATCTATGTCCATTCTATAATAAGGACACCAGAATTGAACCGCATAATCCATGTGTGGCCTCACTAATGCTCGGTAAAGTTTCAAGATAACGTCAGCAGTTCTGTTACTCACACTCCTAGATATGAACCCAAGAATCCTGTTTGCCTTGTTGCGAACGCTAATACATTGTTTTCTAGGTTTCAAGTCGTTGCTAACAAATACACCTAGATCTTTTTCACAATCTGAGTTTTCTATTTCCGTGTTACCTAGTTTATACTTAACGTTTGTATTCGTCTTCCCTATCTGTAGTACCTTGCATTTATCAGTATTAAAATTCATTTGCCAGTCTACTGACCACTCATGTAAGGTATCTAGATCTCTTTGAAGGTGTTCAAAGTCACTGTCTGAATTTATCACTCTCCCCATTTTGGTATCATCTGCAAATTTACTAATCCTACTAGTTATACCTAAATCAAGATCATTAATGAATATAACAAACAGCAGAGGGCCTAATACAGATCCCTGGGGAACTCCGCTTTTGACCGCACCCCAGTCTGACTTAAATCCATTTATGCTGACTCTTTGTTTCCTACCAGTTAACCATGACCTAATCCATTTTAATAATGATCCACCTATTCCATGTGCTTCTACCTTCCTTATCAATCTCTCATGAGGGACTCTATCGAATGCTTTACTGAAATCTAAATAAATTATATCATATGACTTATCATTATCTACCGCTTCATATACTTCTGAGAAAAAGCTAAGCAAATTTGTGAGACAAGAACGTCCCTGGGTGAACCCGTGCTGAGAAGAATGAATTAAGTTGAATGTTTCAAGGTGGCTTCTGATTTTCGTAGCAATAATTGACTCTAGCAACTTGCCTATGATTGACGTGAGACTAATGGGACGGTAATTTGATGCAATTGATTTATCACCTTTTTTGAAAATCGGAACTACATTTGCAAGTTTCCAAGCTTCTGGCACTAGGCCCGATTCTAATGACTTATTAAATAAAACTGCTAATGGATTACTCAACTCATCTCTACATTCTTTTAATATTCTAGCATATACCTCGTCTGGACCAGGCGATTTATGAGGCTTCAGTTTGTTAATTTCTTTAAGCACATCGTTACTAGTAATATTGATATTCATCAACATATTTTCTATACTGTCGTTATATACCTTATGAACTTCTGGAAACTGTGCTAGGTTTTCATTTGTGAATACGGAGCGAAAATGACTATTTAACGTACTACACATTTCTAACTCATCATCAGTCATTTCTCCTGTCGTAGTTTTAAGGGGACCTATTGTATCTCTAACCTTTGATTTATACAGTTGATAAAAAGCTTTGGGGTTATTTTTCGATTCGTTTGCTACCTTGATTTCATAATTTCTCTTTGCTTTCCTAATTTCTGTTTTTACCTGTCTTGTTAGGTTCTGATAGTAACCAAGTAAGTGATTTTCGCCTTTCTTAACTTTTCTATATACTCCTTTCTTTTTCCCTAGAAGATCTAAGAGTCTATTATTCATCCATTTTGGTTGGTTCCGTATCGATCTGAATTTTCTTTTAGGGATGTGTTTATTTTGAGCATTATGGATTGTCGCAATAAATTGTTCATAAGTAGCTGCTAAATTAAATTCGGGGTTCTCCCGTCCTAAGTTGACAGTTTCCGGAGGTGTGGGGGGGATTAATCTTTTGACCATAGGGTCATCCCTTAGGTCTCTCCTTAAGCTACCGTAATTAGCCTTCCTAAAATCCGGGATCAAGGCCGAATTTTCCTTCTTCCTGCCATTCCATATTATGTTAAAATATATGGCTTTATGATCACTGTTTCCTAGTTCGTCTCCAATCCCAACATCTTTTACTAGATTTTCATTATTACTGAGAACTAAATCGAGGATATTATTTCCTCTAGTGGGCGAGTTTATGAATTGATATAAAAACTATCTTGTACTACTTCTAGAAAATCTTCAGATTCATTATCGCTAAGTTGATTTTTCCAATCTAAGCCTGAAAAGTTGAAATCGCCTAGAATACATACATTGTTTCTATCAGATGCCTTCTTTATTTCCTCCCATAGCAATTTACCATCGTTCCTACTCAAATTAGGTGGGCTATATATAACACCAATGACTACGGACTCATTGCCCTCACCAATCTCTACCCAAATACTTTCATTGTCGCTATTTGTTTTAATGTTTGATTTATTGCAGCTTTTTAATGACACCCTGATATACACTGCTACACCGCCCCCTCTCCTTCCTACTCTGTCAAATTTAAATGAGACTGTCAGTAAAAGTGGTTTCAATGAATTTAATAGCTGTGAGTATGGCAACTAATTCAGTTTGTACAGTGGATGCCCAGTTGTTAATTCTAACTCCTTTCTCAATTATATTACCGTCAGGTTGAGCCACAACAATAGCACTTCCAGCCCTCCCACAGGCGGTGTTAAGAGATCCATCAGTGTAGATGGTCTGTGTGATATTATCATCAGTCTGTAGAGTGTGTATGTGTTCAAGAGCTCTCAATTTGGCAGTGTGTTGGAAATAAATGCTTTGTATAATTAATTTTTTAGGCTAATACGTCGGTATTGTGATATCGAAGGGAACTGTCCGCCAGGGTGGCAGGAAGCGCTGTTGTGTCTCAACTTTGTACAGGTGGTCTAGTCCAAACATCTTCATATGTGCAGCTGTAGTTTGGATCCATTTAGACTCAGTAGTCCCATGGTTCATACATTCTAGCAATTTTAAGGAAACAATGTTATCAGGATCACCACGCAGAAGCCTCAGGGCTATCATGAGGTTGACTTCAATTATTCTATCTTTAACACTGGGTATACCTAGTTCTTTCCTCATATTAAGTACTTTAGTGCTCATCGGACATCCTAGGATAATTCTGAAGGCTTTATTTTGGATTTTCTCGAGATTGTCAACGCCTTTCCCGTCACGAATGACCAGGGCTGGTGCGTGGGGGAGGTGGTAGGAGGTGCTGCTAAAGCGGAGGGGGGCTGCTAGGTGGGGAGGGCTGTTAGGTGGGGAAGGTCACTGTCCTTTTGACATTACGCTTACATTACTAAGTTTTAAGATATTATACAGTGTTCCTCCCCCTCCCGCACTACTTCCATCTTTCCTCTCTTCCTACCTTCCTCACTCCTTACATTCCCTCCATTCCGCACTCCCTCCCTTCCCCCTTTCCTCATTACCTCCCGCACTACTTCCCTCCTTCCTTCCTTCCCTTCTTTCCTACCCCTCCCCACGCCTTGTGTTAATAAAGAAACACATGAGAGGTTCCTTCACATCATCCTTAGTCAATGACAGATTTATCTTAAGACATGAATAGTAAATTCTTGCTTAAAATGTTTATATATTTCACCATACTATTTAAAAATAAACTTTGGTTTTATGTCTATTGAAAGTTGCGACATATATCACTGTCTTGTGTGGTAAGCATTGATAGTTAGGTTAGATTCGGTTGTTTGGTTTTGTGTGGTAAGCTTTGATAGTTAGGTTAGATTCGGTTAGATTAGGTTTTGTGTAGTAAGCTTTGATTTTTAAGCTGCAAAATCCGATTGGGAAATATCATTATTAAATTTGATATGTAGAAAATAGAAAGAATTTCTGTATCAACCTTGACAACACCAGCTCTCCCCTGTATCGTTACCTGGTCCAGCTCTCCCCTGTACTTTTACCTGGTTCAGCTGTCCCCTGTACCGTTACCTGGTCCAGCTATCCCTTGTATCGTTACCTGGTCCAGCTGTCCCTTGTACCGTTACTTAATCAGCAGGTACGCGTACCGCTGGGTATGGTACTTAGTATATAATGGTATCGGTACCCTACTCCGTGAATAGAGTAAGCATGATGACCCAGTACACTGAACCATCAACAAGTACTGCAACAAGGGGTACACAGTAACCCAGTACCGTCAACCATCAACAAGTACAGCAACAAGGGGTGTATAGCTACCCATTACACTCAACCATCAACAAGTAAAACAACAAGGGGTGTACTGTTCAGTCATTCAGTACACTCAACCAGTGACAAATGTATCAATAATGGGTATACAAGCATCGAGTAAACTTATCAGACAAGCATACCAACAATGAGGTATACAAGGAGAGTGTAGAGCAATTTAGTACACTTAGTCAGCAACATTTGTACCAACAGTAGTGTTGCACGACCATCCCCGTGCACTAAACCAGCGACAGGCTCAGAAATACAGGGATGTACACTCACTACAGAAACTATCTGCAAGATGGGATCCGATGGATGTCAAAATGAACACTACGACTCCTGTTGTTTCGGTAGAGTTGTCAAAATCCTTCGTCTGTTGTGTCATATTGTCGAGTATTTTTTTTACAGCTACTTCTGTAATGAGCGTACAAGTTCCGGTAAAATTGCAGATTACAGCAACTAAAGAATCTGATAAAAAAATATGTTTTTCTGGTGGTTTTTGATGCGATTGGCTCAAATCTGACATTCGTTTTTATTGGAGATCACTCGTTTTGGATTTACCGCCCCCCCCCCCCCTCTCTAACAATAATGAGGAAAAGCATGGGAATTCGGGATTCTGGGTGGGGGAGAGCCAATACGAGTGATTTGTGGTAGAAGCGAATTCCAAAATTGTCCGAATAGCAACAAGAAAACACCAGAAGAACACATTACGCAACAGAAATTCTGTTATTACGAAAAAAATAGAAATAATAGTTCTATCGATTGCGTGTTCTGAATTCCCGGTACTCTGTGCTTGCTAACTTATACAATATAACCAAACAACCTTACCTAACCCCCTAGCCGGTGGCTCCGCCCTCGGACCCCCGTATTATCAATTTAAGACGGAAGTCTAATAAAAGAAAATGATCATAGAAAAAATAGTTCTATCGATTGAATGTAGTGAATTTCCAGAATTCTGTAGTTGCTGTTTACTGCAATATTACCCAAGTTCAGGGGAGGGTCATGTAGGACGTAGGATTATTCTGTCTTCCACCGATTTCCTGTATCCATAGTATTTGGTGATGCAAGAAATATATCTATTAATTTGTTTTTGCATCTTATCTTCCTCAGCCTTGGGTTACGGTCTCCTGGCAGTGTGTTTAGCATTTTTGGCAGGGAACCTAGGCGGTGTTCTTCAGGCAGCTATAGCTGTCACCTCCTCCGTGGCGGGACCTCTGCTGGCGGTTTTCATCATGGCCCTCTTCATGCCTTTCACTAATTCTAAGGTAATGGACATACAAAACTCATCCTTTTCTTTGCTCCCGTATTGAAACAAAGTATTCTCATAACTCTGTAGTTAGAGAGTGTATGAATCTTCTCCGATGTTCCTCTACCTTCTAAAGTATCAAGTGGTTAATTCCACACTCTCCATTTTGCTAACCTGGCAATCTTACCGGATTGCCAGGAGCTATGCAACACAGAATTCACTTCAGATGTAGATTTCTTGCACTCGCTAAATTCTTCAGTTTCGACCTAAACTGTGACTGTAAGGGGGGGGGGGGGTATTACTCTCTTAGTTCCTTCAATTGTTCTTTCTACATATTTCAGTTCATGGTTACTACATAACCTCAGTTCTTTAGTAGCATGGCGAGGGTCTAGGGTACATGGCTACTGTAATTCTGGTATCAGGGTCACTTGGACGGAAATAAAGGTGAACTACTGCGGGAAAATAAATACCCCTAATGTACTCTCAGAAAAGGTTTATTAATATGGAATCAAAGTAGGGAAAAAGATATCATTAGCATACAACTCCAAGGTGCAACTCCTCGGCTTTACTCAACTGCAATTTACTCAGATACTGTACTCTTATTACACACAACCTTATTGGTGTTACATTACATTACAGCTACCAGGACCAATTCCTTGGCTTTACTTACATTACATAGAGACACATGACAACTCCTTGGCTTTACTCACATGCCATTCCAAGTGGGTACTCTGACCTCTCCCACATTACTGGTGATACATTTCATTAACAGTTACCAGGATCAACTCCGTGGCTTTACTCATATTACAGCTCCAATCGGATACTTTACTTCTCACACCTTACTAGGTACATTTCATTACATCCAGTTAAGACAAACATACTTCTGATGCCTTCACAGGCTGTTGTTAGTACATATGAGATGCACTCACAACACACAACACGTTATTACTGAAACCAACAACTTATACATAGGTCCACTACCCAACATGAGATAATTATATTCCAGAATTATCCCCAATCAAATACAACACACTCTGTGGACCATATAACTTCAAGGCATGTCCCAGGGTATAACACTAGCGCCTCTAACAACTGGCGACCGCTGTTGTGGTCGGTTAAACTCCGACATGTGTTGACAGTCTGGGGTCCAGCTCCACGAGGCAGACTTGATCAATTTAATCATGCCGAATTGGCGCCATCGTCCACTACCGTTAACTGATAGGTAGCCACCCACTCCGGGGCAGTCGGTGGGGTGTTCAAAGAGCCCACACCCTTGAATCTGTGAACAAAGTTGGAGGATCGTCACGGGAGAGCATGGACTCAAACACAACAAATCTTTCGTCTCACAAAGTCAGACGACATTTACTTTATACAGGTTGACAACCCTTTATCCGAAATTCCGAAAACCGAAAAGCTCTAAAAACCGAAAGTTTTTTGTGGGTCATTTTTTTTTTTTTTTTAAACAGGGATTAGCCCACCCGGGCATAAATCACTGACTCACAGCAGGGCCTGGTGGGCGAAAATGTAATAGTAATAATAATTATAATAATAATAATTATTCATTGTAAATAAAATTTTTAATTAAAATACTGTACACCAAAATAAAATAATAATGATAACAATAATAATAATAGTAATAATAAAATACAATAATCAAATTAATAATAATAATACTAACAATAATACTGTAATAAAATAATAATAATGATAAAGAAATACAAGAATGAAAAAAAGATCAAAAGTGAGAAATGCGACCTAGACCTATGAATTATTATTACTGTATTATTATTATTATTATAATATTTTTGCCCCCCCCAGGCCCCGATGTGGGTCAGTGATCTATGCCCGGGTGGGCTTATACACTGTATAAAAAAAAAAAAAAAAAATAACCATTCTGAAAACCGAATAATTCCGAAATCTGAAATGCCTCCGGCCCCAAGAATTTCGGATAAGGGATTGTCAACCTGTAGTACTTCTTACACTGGGTGAATGACAATTCCACTGTTACAACATGAACACTGATACTCACAAAATTGACTAAATCAAACTGAATGGCTATATCCGCGGGGGAACACCTGCTACATACCTGTGAACAAAGTTGGAGGATCGTCACCGGAGGCCGAACTCCTTCTCGCATCGGGTGTAGAGAGGGATCATAGTGTAAAACATCGAGAGGGAAAACGCGTTTCTTCTTAAGGATAGCTAACCAGCTACCCACTCATGTTTTGCGGGCGTGTAGTATAATAAGAATCCTCAGTTTTAAAACAGACTAGCCGTCAATGTGACCATGGCATGACGAGTCCTTGAACTCCTAATCAGCAAATCACTGAGAAAATTACCAACAGTAAGTATCACTTTAGTTCCTGGCTGATAACGTGTTAATAACAATGCACTGTTGATATTGTATTAGGAACGCCAAATACAATCATCACCAATATTTAGATCTGAAAAATTTAAAAAGACAAATTCAGCTACAGCCTCGTAAGATCCCCTTTTAAGAGGGTATTGTAGCCAGAGTTATTAATATTATCATTATTATTGTATTATTTTATTTTGTATGTTTTTATTATAAATTTTATTTACTATGAATCATGAATTTATTTTTTGTGGATTTCATCCATATTCACGATATTTTTTAACAGTTTAATGGTAAATCCAATTAGTGTATGTTGTATAACAGATACCACTGCTGACAATAAATTCAGCTTCTTCGGTCCACTTATCAACTGTTCTTATTTACGTTGTGACTGTGTCGGCAGGGAGCTTGTGCAGCTCTGATAATAGGGACTGGGATCGCTCTAGGCTTCAGTTTCGGCGGCACCGCTCTGGGTCTCAAGCCAGAGCTGTTACCCACTTCCACAGACGCCTGTCCGGCCAACCTCACAATACCTCTACCTCCAGACACTCTACCAGTTAGGTAAGTTCATGGATTGTGAATCATTATCCCTGATATGATGCCTAGACTACACGTGCTCATTGGCAGGCTCTTTGTACTTGCCCATTCATGGTGGTGATCATTAAATTCTGTTATAAACCAATTAAGAAATATTGAATTTTTGTATTGCACCGATACTGACAACCACAAGATTTATCATCTTCCTCACCATAGTCCAATAAGAATGAATCATTTTGGTTGCATTTTGTATAACATGTAAATTATAGATAAAAAAATATGTTAAATACACTTTTAGTCATCAGTCATCAAGAATGCGAGTATATTTTAAAACATGTTTTTTTTCGTGAACAATTACTGACAAAATGAATCGATAAATACTGAATAACACCAATATTAATTTTACAGTTTGTGTGTGTGTGCGTGTGTGTGTGTGTGTGTGTGTGTGTGTGTGTGTGTGTGTGTGTTTAATTATCTCACATTGCATAATGAGTCTTAAAAGTATCAGAAATTTTGAATTTGTTTTCAAACTTTCAATATTATATATATATATATATATATATATATATATATATATATATATATATATATATATATATATATATATATATATATATATATATATATATATATATATATATATATATATATATATATATATATATATATATATATATATATATATATATATATAAAGCCTGCTGTGTTCAATAATAACATTTTAGAACTCTAATGTCTCCTTCATTAATGCTTTTTTTTTCAAAGACATCTATAAGTTTATTTTAATTCCAATTCGCTGATCACATAACTCACTGTCTCCTAAATTTTATTCAACTTGCAATTATGTTTAATAAAATTTTGCAGGTATGACTTATTGACGTAATTGTTCCAAACGGGGTGCGTTTTAAGGCTCCTGTTTTTTTTAGGTAATAATACATATATTGATTTTTCGGAAATCATTGGGAAGGTCTCTTTGAAATATATAGAATTACATATTTTAGTCAAACATTGGTTCCGTTGTTGCCCATTTGTTTTTATAAATTCTGCTGCAGCTGATCAACCCCACAAGCTTTTTCATTTTCATTTTGCTCACAACCGCTTCAATTCCTGATCCCAGATTTGAGTTTGACCTTTATATCCTTTTCGTTCCTGAACTCCACTCTATCCTTATTATTGTATAGTTCTTCTATACACTCTTCCCAGCTCTCTCTTTCTTCTGTCTCAATCATGGTCTTATTGTCTTTCTTTTGATGGTCCCACTCCATTTATTTATCTTTTTCTGGTTCATCTGTTTACTCTTTCAGTACATTTCCTTATAGTTATGCCTCTGTCATCATCTTCCATCTTGCATTTCCTATTTAGTAAATCATCTTTAGCCTGTCTACAGTCTTTTTTATAGTTTCTATGTAAAGATATTTTTACGAATCACTTTCTCTTATCATCTTTCTTCGTCTGCCCAATTTCTTTAAAATTTCATTTGTGATCTCCTCGTATGTCCTATAAGTTTTCCATACTCTCTACCATTATTTCTTTGTAATTATTTCATTGCTGTCCAGTTTCTTGCTCATTAAAGCTTTTCTCTAGCAATAATGAAAATCTCTTTCGGTTTCAATTTCATACTCTATCCCTGCCCTGCTTTGAGCTCACCTAAATCCCATTTGACTTTGTCCTTCGTTTTTCTTTTTCTTTTTTTAAGTTTTAACCTCACTAAACTCCCTACTGGGACTTGGTCTGACCCACAAAATAGCAGCAAGTAATATATAATCTTCTCCTACAGAGTTAGTGACCTACCGTACCCACAGAAGATCCTTGGGCTCTCCTACACTCAACTAGGACCACTCGGATTAGTGGTGGGGTTAATCGTCGGCGTCCTTGTTAGCCTCGCTACAGGTCAGTAGATAATTTCCTCTTGAGTATAGCTGTAGCTTGTAGGTTATATGGACTCCCGTCTTAGTACCCCAGTTAACAAATCCACGTGGATTAGAACCTTTTACGATTGCCACCCAGTGACACGTCACTGGTTAAGAAGGTAAAACAGAGTTGATGGTCATGTGTAATACTTAATGACTTTACCTCGTGTTGTTTGGTTCATATTTGAAAATTTAATAATATATGGATCCCTTGATGACTTACAAGATCGTGGAAGTCTCTTCTTTGACAATAGTTGCTTTACACAACTTTCTGAGTTTGATGATTTTATTATACTCCTATTAGGGAATAAAATCAGCGTTAATACTTTAGTGTACTCCTTTTGATATATTGTTTCATATCCCAAGTTGGTTTTTTATGTACTTTTGTGCTGTAACAACTAAGGTCGATGAGAAAGTACTATAAGTAAGACAATGTCTATAGACAATAACTATCAAAATTTAAGAAAAGTAATCCTTCCTTGTTTACGTTTATGTCTTACTGTGCCTCAGTAGCTAGACTTTAAGCCCGTACTCTACATCAGTTCGTAAACTAGCCATCAACAATTGAAGCACAGGGATTGTTGATATGAATCAAATAGTTGAAGGCTTTATAATGAAACTGCTTTTTATTCCTGAGGTATATACTGTATATATTTTTTTCTTATTTTTAGTATAGCTGGATGTTGTCTCAATTGCTTTTAGTTATTCGGGTCATTTGCACATTTCTAGGGCCATGGATATACAAATTGGCGGTGCCTAGTGTAACGTAAAGTACGTAACTCCCTATAAAAGGCGCTGGCTAAAATTAACGGGTGCAATATCAGAATCCTGGATGATCGATATTGTGATATCGATTTTCAAGAAGGGAGATTGATCACAATCATCTAACTACCGTCCAATCAGTTTAACGTCAATTCTGTCAAATTGCTGGAAGCAATAATTTCAAACTCCATTCGAAATCACCTGAAGAAGCACAAGTTGATCAATGATTCCCAACATGGCTTCACAAGTGGGCGTTCATGTCTAACTAATCTATTAACATACTTTTCAACTGTTTTCGAGTCAGTGGATGAGGGGGACGATTATGATGTAGTACCCCTCGACTTTAGCAAAGCCTTCGACAGAGTCCCCCCACGAGGGACACACGTTTTTGTGGAACTTCAAAATCGTAGTATGCTTTGTATCCGTAATGATGATGGATATGTTGAAACCTAGCAATTCTAAGATTTAAGATGCTAAGACTTTAATAAAATACCTCTCTAATGCATTTTGTAGATTGTTTTATCTCCTTTAGAACATAGGTTATTAATATTTTCAACTGCATCAGAACTTTACGGACACCCTGTTATTATTATTATTATTATTATTATTATTATTATATATATATATATATATATATATATATATATATATATATATATATATATATATATATATATATATATATATATATATATATATATATATATATATATTTATATATATATACATATATAAATATGTATTTCATGTAGATCCACAATGAAAACGTGGATAAGATAAATCTTGATAAAATCACACGGGAAAAGGGAAACAACGGAGCACCTTAGCTTCACAAGCGGGTAAGTGGATGACATCATTATGACCTGACCTCATGTTTTTAGGGTCACCGTGTATATTTAAGCCTCTCTCTGTCTATGTAATCCAGTTGCCTCTGAAGATTTCTTGAATAAAGACGAAAGCTAAGGTGCTCCGTTGTTTCCCTACAGTGATTTACTTGCATATATATATATATATATATATATATATATATATATATATATATATATATATATATATATATATATATATATATATATATATATATATATATATATATATATATATATATATATAATGTAGACTAACTTAATCTAATTTTAACGTATTCAAACCTATTTAATCCTATCCTTACCTAAACTAACCTAGCCTAAATTACCCTAACATTAGATTGGTTAGGTAAGGCAAAAGCAGTTTTGGATAGGTTGCGTTAGGTATCCTAATGAAACCTACCTATCTTAACTTAACCTAACCTATTCTAACCTGACCACGACTAACTTAACTAATCTAATGTTCAGTTAAGTTATCAGAACATAAGAATGGAGTTAACTGCAGCAGGTCTATTGGCGCACATTGGGCAGTCCTATTTACACCCAACCCCTATTGCTCATATATCCATCCAACCTACAGTATGTTTGAAGCTATCCAGCGTATTCTATTTCCAAACCAATGTTTACCTCTCTTGCGCCTCAATCTAAATTTGTTTAATTTAAAACCACTGTTACGAGTACACTCCTGGTTTGATAGTTTGAGTAACTTTGTTATACTACCTTTGTTTAGCCCTAGCTTCCATTTATACGCCTCGATCATATCGCCCCTCACTCTACTTCTCTCGAAGGAGTGCAAATTCAGATACTTTGATCTGCCTCTGTACTCAAGGTTTCTAATGCCCGGGATTAGTCTTGTCATTCTTCTCTAAATTCTTTCTAGGGATTTTATATCGATTCTGTAGTACGGTGACCAGACCTGAACTGCGTAATCCAAGTGAGGTCTTACAAACCCAAGATATAGTTTTAGGATGACTTCGCTAGTCTTGTAGCTAACACTCCTTTGTATGAACCCAAGTACTTTGTTGGCCTTGTTTCGGGGAAATACACATTGTTTACTTGGTTTAAGATTCCTAATTATCACTACTCCTAAATCTTTCTCACAGTCAGCTTTCTCTATAACATCATTGTTCATCTGGTATCTGGTTTCTCTGTTTATATCTCCTAGACTAAATACTTTACATTTGTCCATATTAAACTTCATCTGGCATTTTCAGACCATTCAAAATTTTTTTTTACATCTTCCTGTAGTTTTGCCGAGTCCACGTATGATTTAATTACACGCCTTATTTTAGTGGCATCACCAAGTTTACTTATCTTGCTGTCTACGCTGATATCTATGTCGCTTATGTATATAATAAATAATAATGGTCCAAGTACCGAGCCTTGAGGTACTCCACAAGTGACGTTACCGCAATGAGATTTAGTGCCGTTAATGCTTACTCGCTGTTTCCTGTACTGTATCCACGCCCTAATCCATTTTAGAATATATCCTCTAATGCCGTGAGCCTCAACTTTTCGTATTAGTCTTTCGTGGGAGACTCTGTTGAAGGTTTGCTTAAGTCGAGATATACCACACCATAATCGTGCCCGTCGTCCACTGATTCGAAAACAGCTGAAAAGAATGTTAATAGATTAGTTAGACATGAACGCCCTCTTGTGAAGCCATGTTGGGATCATTGATCAACTTGTGATTCTCCAGGTGATTTTGAATAGAGTTTGAAATTATTGCTTCCAGCAATTTGCCTACAATTGATGTTAAAATGATTGGACGGTAGTTAGAGGATAGTGATCTATCTCCCTTCTTGAAAATCTTTATTACATTCGCTATCCTCCAGGCTTATGGTACTACACCCTTTTTAATGACATGTTAAACTTCTTTGCTGATTGCATACTAAGCACTTTCTTACAGTCCTTTAATACTTTGGGAAATATCTCATTGGAACCTGGTGACTTTTTAGGCTTTAGTTTGTCTATTTGCTTACTCATATCGATTTAGTCACTAATGTCTCGCTTAATCTATTTTCTTCACTATGTCTGTATATAGTCGGTGCCTCGGGTATCATGTTTGAATTTTCGGTGGTGTAAACTGTTGTAAAATATTTATTCAGATTATTGCTCATTTCTCCGTCGTTATCAGTTAGCTCGCCGGTATGTGACTGTATTGGTCCAATCTCTTCTCGTGCTTTAGTTTTATACATTTGAAAGAATCCCTTGGGGTTTGACTTCGCCTCCCTTGCTACCTTCAGTTCATTATTCCTCTTTGCTTTTTTTATCTCGGTCTTAACCCTACCGGCCAATACTTTATAATAATCTCGGAGGTAAACTTCACCACGATTCATTCTCCTACCTATAGCCTTCGTTTGTCCAAAAATATTCTTAAAACAATTATTCATCCTTTTCGGGTCATTGTTGTTTGATCTGAGTTTTCTGTGTGGTATTTTCTGCCTTTGTGCATAAAGTAACTCATTATTTAAATTGTTGTGGAACTCGTCAACCTCAGATTTCGTGATCAGGTCATCCTCAAACGTCATATTTTGGGGAGGTTATCGTTGTCAGGTCTCCAGGTAAAGTGAGGTTGCCATCTGTGGGTACATTGTGTGAGGTCGTGTAATTCACCCCCAAACATGATACCCCTTCTCTCAGCTGCCTTTTCAATCTATCATCGTTTGCCCTTCTGAAATCTTGGAATTTAATTGAATTTTCCTTGCATCTGACAATAAATTCTAATTTGAATCTTACTTCTTTGTGATCGCTGTTAGCAAGTTCGTTCTCAACCTCAACATTACTAATGAGGTTTTTCTTTTTGACAGAACTAAATCAAGTATATTATTACTCCGGGTGGGTTCGGTTATATGTTGACTTAGGAAATAGCCCTGAACTGTTCCAAGAAAATCCTCTGATTCTGAGTTACCCGTAAGGACGATCCAATCTGCTTGACTAAAGTTAAAGTTGCCTACTATACAGACTTTGCTTGTCTGGATGCCCTGAGCCTCTCATCCCAAATAAGTCGCTCATTAACTCTATTAAGATTAGGGTCTATATATTACTCCAATGAATAATTTTTTCCTACCTTCGGTTAATTCTATCCAAATTGTTTGTGTATTCAGTTCAGTTTTTATTTCCTTAATTATTTCACACTTCAGATTATCCCTGACATAGATTGGTACTCCGCCTCCTTTCCTAATCTGCCTATCGGTGTGGAATAATTTGTAACCTGCAATTTGGTATTCGGCAGGTAACTCACATTAGTCTAAGTTTATCCATGTTTCGGTGAATGCTATTATATCGATATTTTTGGTACATACTAACGCCCTTATTTAATGCATTTTGTGTCTCATACTTCTACTGTTTGCATAGTAGACAATTAAGTTAGTGTTGATCTGAGTCCTCCATTTTAACTTCCCGCCTTATTTAGTTTTGTTATCATTTCTAGCACTATTTCTCTGTAACCTTTCATTTTGTTTACCCTCTGCTACTGCAGTCTCCTCGATCCCCGTGCTCATATGTTCCCTAACAGCAGTTTAAAGACTTCGACATCTTTTGAACTGCCCTCTCGAGAGCCAGCCAAGATTGCCACCCCATCCCTAGACAGATGTACCCCATCCTTAGGATAAAGGTCCCTTCTGCCGTAAAATATGTCCTTGTTGTCAACAATTGGGACTGATATTGACTTGTCAAGACGGCCGTTGACACCAACTGCCCTTGACAACTCTTTATTGCCAACTCTCCTTCTAGGCAGGACACCGCGTAAGCTAAGCTACGCTAGACTTGATAAAGTTAGTGTACAATTGGTTTTGCTAGGTTAAATTAGATGTAAATTGTTTACATTACACAAGTTGACTAGTCATTACACGAAATGGCTGATTACAATCTTTGACTGTAACACACACATACACCTATATATGTATATATATATATATATATATATATATATATATATATATATATATATATATATATATATATATATATATATATATATATATATAAATATATCATATATATATATATATATATATATATATATATATATATATATATATATATATATATATATATATATATATATATATATATATATGTGTGTATGTGTGTGTGTGTGTTTAATTTCTAAACTTGTATATGTAAGTAACTGTATGTGTTCCCTCAGGTATGTCAGGTGGTCGTCGTGTGGAGAGGTCGCTGGTACACAAGTGGGTGAGGTGGTCACTCCCTCTCCCCGTCGATATCACCGCCAGAACTAAAGCTCACTCTTACGACAACAAGATGTCAACTCATTTTTGAATCCGCAACAATTTTATGTTTAAACTTTATAGCCAGTTTTGAGGATATATAAATGTAGATATTAATATACCTGTTGATTATGGATTAAAGGAGCATTTATGTTTGTTATTAGAATAACTTAGATATACAGTATATTGAAGAGATTACTTTATATTATTTTATTATTAATCATATTCTATATTTTCTTCGGGTTTATAACAAATTATTTTTTTAAATGTCAGTCAATCGAGGGTATCGACACATTTAGTAAGTATCAATCGGTAGTTTAAAGGATGATATTTGGAAAAGTTTTGTGAGTTGAAGAGGTTCTAGACAGGGATGGTGGATAGCTGAGGTGGGTCTGCGGAGGGGGGCTGCTCCATAAGTGATTTGCCCATAAAATGTGGAATTGAAAAAATCGCGCATCATGTGTTGATCTGCAACTTTTTGAGTTTCACATGTTTTATTTTTAAATTAAGTGCTACGTTCGCACAACTCTCTGAAAGCATCTGCTACCGCTGGATCCTCCAGACGCTTTGTGTTAGAATCTCTTCTAGAGGCTTGTTTCCTTCGCCGTTTTGGGGCAATGTGAAGTGAGAGCTTGGCTCTGATGATCCGATGATCAGTGTCGCAGTGGTCTGAGCCACGCATGGCTCGGGTAATGGGGACATTTCGGCGACCTCTTTCTCTAACAATGATGTAGTCAATGAGATGCCAGTGTTTGGATCGTGTGTTTGTTGCCACTTGCTGAGGAGGAGTAGGTCGTTGGGATTACACTTGCCTAGTCCATTTCTCCCTATGATTCCCTGCCAAATGTCAGCATCTCTGCCAACTCTGGCATTGAAGTCACCCAGAAGCAGAACCTTATCTTCTCTGGGGATTGAGGTTAACACTCTCTCATGGTCGGCGTTAAAGGCCTCCTTGATGCCATCCATTGCATCCAGTGTTGGGGCGTATGCACTGATGAAGAAATGCATGACGTGAGTGATTCAGTGGGACTCTGAGCGTCATGAGGCACTCTTTGATCCCAACAGGCATTTCAGTTAGCCTTTGTAGGATGCATTGGCAGATTGCAAAGCCAACTCCATAAATGCGGTTTCACTGCACAGCAGGCTTACCTTTCCAGAAGAAGGTATAGCCAGACCCCCGTTCTGTGAGTCGACCCTCCTCTGGGAGCCATGACTCGAAAGGGCTGCTCAGTTGCACAGGCAGGAAAGGGTTGCGCTGCTGCCTAGATCCCAGTGCATAAACGACCATCTTATCTATGCCGCCCATATGCAGAGTTGTGACTAGAGACTCCCGACAGTCATCTCTGCCTGTTCCCGTTGCCACTCGTCCGTCACCATAGGACTTTTGGGGATAAAGGGGTTTTGATGATGATGGGAAGTATGATGAGCTGGATGATGGCTGTGCTTGAATTGATTTATGTAGTGAGGTAGGAGCACAGGCTGCAACCACTCATCTTAGCTCTCCCTTTTTCTGATCGAGTGGTGCAAATGTTGCAACGAGTTGGGAGAGGGAGAGTTGCAATGGGCAGCCGATAGCCCAGTTTGTTGGGTTTCGCCTTAGTACCTGTCCATCATGCATTGCCTTCATTCGCCGGTGCAGTCGTTGGGTTTCCATGGTGGTCACCTCTTCCGCTAAAACCTCCTTTAAGGTCTTGTTGGAGCTCTGTAAGCATGTCTGTCTGATGCGGGGCTCCACAGATTTTTCGTTTGGGGGTTTACTCCTGGAGCCTTATACCTACCAAGGTTATTCCATAAGGCAGCGTGGCAGTGGTTGGTAGGCACTAGGACGTGTCCACATGCCAGTGGTCCCTTGTACCGTTCCTCTGTGGCCCACTGTTGCTCTAAGATTCCCTGCTGGTCTAGACTGGGCCCACGAGGCACTTAGTTACCATGTGTTGCCACAAGGAAGCAAAGCAGGAGTTTTGATGGTGAAGAGGCTGTTTATCTGGCAGGGGAAAACTTATGCAAGTTGCCTCCCTGTTCGCCACGAGGGCTAGCCAGCAGAGGTAGCTGAAAGCAAAAGGAAGCATGCTGTGCTTGTGGCTAACATTAACATAATGTTGCCACACTAGATGCTTTACACCACCCTGTGCACACACACACACACATATATATATATATATATATATATATATATATATATATATATATATATATATATATATATATATATATATATATATATATATATATATATATATATATATATTTCATTTGCCCAATAAAGCACGTGGACTTCTAAATATAATTCACCCCGCCAGGACTGGACTCTGATGTTCACTACTGACTGGGGAATGCAGTCCTAGACTCTGTTATATTTCACACAAAGCCTGTTCAACGGGTAGTCCCTATTAGAGGTTCACGGCGCCATAAGCTCGTTGAACAAGCTTTGTGTGAAATATAAAAGAGTCTAGGACTGCTTTTAGTATCCTGGTGGTCTTGAGGTAGCATTCCCCGGTCACAGTCGTGGGCCGTGGGTTCGAATCCTGGCGGGGTGAGGTGTTGATTTTATATATATATATATATATATATATATATATATATATATATATGTCATTGCTACATGTATATATATATATATATATATATATATATATATACATATATATATGTATATATATATATATATATATGTATATATATATATATATATATTTATATATATATATATATATATATATATATATATATATATATATATATATATATATATATATATATATATATATATATTGTGACGACTCTGTCCCCTCCTCACTCTACCACCATAACCATCACTTGCTCCAACTGGACACCAGGAGAAGAAACTGCTTCACGAAGCTACTTGACCCCAGTGAGCACCGTTTCCGAACCAGTTTCCTATCCAACTACGAGACCAGTTTCCCATCTGATTATGAGACCAAGGTATCGAGGCAAGTGTATCTGCCTGGTAGGCTGACGCCCAGAGTTTTAAACACATTTTTCCGTTGAAGAGGGTCGTCGTGTTTCAACCCGAGTTTAAAAAAAATGAGTCCTGAAGTACACCGCACTGCACTACTTGACAGGTTGGTGTGGCGGTAAAATTAACTAATTCCAACTGTTGACCAACTACAAAAGTGCCAAATGTCGCCTTTGGGGCCTCATCAAAAGTTGAGAGTAAAGTTTCCTAACTAGATTTCCTTGGTCTCTTCTCTGCGGCCTTCGGTGTTCCTCTTCTCCTGGGGTGTGGACGACGAATTGTATTAAGGACTACTGCTGGTGGTGTTGTGATGGTTTGATGGTAGTGGACTACGGCGTTAATCCCTGGTTCCTTGTGGCTGGCCATCGCAACCTAGACTTGCTACCTCAGCTGCCATTTTCTATCAGGTTTTTGTGTTGTATATCGTAGGTGTATTTAATGTAAGAATAATTGGGTAATATTCTGGTGTGTTTTGACAAATGCATAGTTGTTAGTTTGGTTTTGATAATTGCATGTTTTGTTGTATTTGTGTTATTGAAGGTACCTAATTAACTAACTAAATCAATACTTAATATAAATGTTATTAAATTACTAAGTTGACATGATGATAATCTTCTGATCCATTTCACTTAAATTTCTCTGTCACAAACAGTGATCCTTGTGTGTGTGCTCCTTACTTGCTGCATCTACGTATTTCAACCCCTAGATCAGGGGTGGGCAACCTTTTTGAGTGTGTGCGCCAAAATCGACCAAATCTTTGATACAAAATTTTCTCTCGTGCCAACCAAAATTTCCGGGTCACATATTATTTGGTATCTTTTACGTAATGGGAGAACCTTTTCAAATAATCAGAAATCACACCGGGGTGGTAAAATCAGAGAGTTTTGTAAGAGTGATTTTATAAATCATGGGATATTGAATGAATGTAAAAATTAGTGACAGAATTTTTACTTAGTGGTTGTTCTTCCCTGTTGTTAGCGTGGATGTTTTATATTAGCATTTCAGTGTAAATCTAGTTGTCATATACATCCACACAATTTAAAGACGTTATTTTTAGCATCAGCAAAAGAGTAAACAATATTTTTGATTTGTTTATCAGATCATTCAGCCTTTAGTTTTTGTAAACTTTTTTCAGTACATTACAATACCAAGCTCAATATCGATTTACTCGACTAAAACACAATAAAAGGATATAAAACTAAAGATATTCTTTTATTGATTCTTAATCCTTTATGAATGATGCATAAAAACCACAGAGAAAATATAAAAGTTATTTTACCTACAAAAATACACACTATTATATTAAACAAAAGCGAATCCTTAATATTTTTAACAGAATACATCAAATGAAAATTAGAGAACGAATAATTGTGAACCTTTTCTTTATTTAGAATCAATGAGACTTCTGCTGCTGCATCCCTGATGATAGATAATTTATATCCGGTTTATATTTTGTAACCTTGAGAGATATACATGTGCTGCTAGTTTCATCAGTAAGGCTACTTCTATTATGAGACTTAACAGAGTTCATCACTGAGAACAATGATTCACAAGAATATGTAGATGAAAAAATGGATAGTAATGTTGTTGCAAGTTTTTTTAAACAGACAAAAGTTTCTGGAATAGTATTCCAAGTCCTCAGTACCTCGTTTTCGGCATTTCTCTCTCTTACTCCCTTCTCTAATCGATCCTTTTCAATACTTTCCAAGTCAGCTCTAAGCTCAACAAATTTCTGCCTCCAAATTGAGCTAGTTTGAAATTCAATCAATTGCATTTCAAAATCATCCATATCTATCCATGAAAACTTCTGCAAGTTTAGTTCATCCAGTTTTATACTGTCTGGCAACTTAATGAATTTTGCAGTCTCTTCTAATTCTCTGAACCTAGCAAATCTTGTTGAGAACTGCTCAACAGTTGACTCAATGATGTTTACAAATAGCTTCTGAAGACACTGGCAGTCTGTTTTGTCATCCTTTGTGAGATCATTGATGTATTTCTTTAGGTTTGGAAAGTATCTAAATCTTTCACTATCTACATCCCTCTTAAAAACTCCTAGTTTCATTTCAAATGCCTTTATGTAATCAAACATAACATCAAGTGTCTTACCAGAGCCTTGTAATTTAACATTTAAGTCATTTAAATGTTCACATAAATCTGCAAAAAACATTAGTTTACAAACCCACACGATGTCAGACATTTCTTTATAAGACATTTGTTGGTTAATCAGAAAGAGATTTATCTCATCCATGCATTCAACAAATCGTTTC